TATCAGAATACAAAAGGTATATATTCAGTCAGTTACAAAGTGTTACACATATCAAGAGGACATACATTCAGTATATCATTCATTAAGACCGTTTCATAAATGAACTTGGTTATAACTTCTACATTAGATACTCAAAACAAGTACATAACTCTTAGGAATTAAATTGACCAGTCCCTGATTGGTTGATCAAGGTGAGATATGAGTCACTTACTCCTGACACTTAGGAATGCAGTCCAGATGTCCATCTGGCACTCCCTAGACAGATAGGCGTCAATGTATGACCATTGATCATGATAGCCAGGCTTAGCTAAGTGCATCCCCCTTTGGGAGGTGTGCCTTATCAAAGGAAACCTTAAATCAGCCTGCATAAATAGTTTCTCTGTGGCTGCACCACAGAGATGAACAGAGATGGGACCTCATTTGGGAAAGCTCAGAACACTTAATTCTTTCTTATTAATAAGCCTCGCCGCTACGCTCTCTAAGAAATAGCACTGCAACCCTCTTCAGTTTTTTCCGGAAGAAAACTGTTATGGGATAGGCTGTTAGTGTTCTAAAAAACACAAAAAGGAAAAAACAACGTGTAAATATAAATAAAATGAGTGAATGAAATGGGTATGTATAGTTAGACTTATTTTTGATTTATGATTACAGTGCTATGACTGCAAAATCATTTGTACTACCACAGCTATACTAGGTCTGTTAAGGTGTTTTCTGAAGTATTCAGATCTTGGTTTTAGGATAGGCAGAAGGATCAGCAGAAGTTTCAGTCCCTATACCAGTCATCTATAAAAAGTAAAATAAAAATGATTTACTTATTCAGATGCTGTTAAATGTTGCTGTTGTATTGTTGACATCTATGTGAAGTGAAGTGTTTTGAAAAATGGGAATGCATGTTTACCTTTTAAAATATCAAGCTTTGCAATAGATGCTCTAGGGGAATCGCTTTTCTACAAGCGACAGAAAGTTCATTGAGGATGGCAGACTGTGTCAAGTTTGCTTTTTCACTAATAAAATATCATCAATCACCATCACCCAGACCCGGGTGCATTCTCGTTCTCTCATTCTAACGTTGTTTGATTTTCAAAGTGTTCAGCATGCTAATTCTTCTTCACCTCCATACTCATTAAACATGCATTAAAAATGTGACACCATGCTGTGCATTAGAAAATTTAAAGGAGACCAATGAAGCATGAATACTGTGGTAGATGCACAGTGTCAAAAGTGACTTTTTTATTTTTTGTAGAACAATTTGCATATACTGTTGGTGTTTATAGAAATGATAGATTTTGTGTGGGTGTATATTGTACATGTTGAGTATATGAGTGGCATTTGGTTATGTACAGCTATTACCAGGAACCATTTACTGGTTTATCCAGAGCAAAATTCAATAAACTGTACTATTAGATTTGTATTGTTTTTACTCTTTTTAATGACCCTACAGTATCTTTAGTTATTTTGTTTCTCTTACTATCAATAATACAATGATAATAACAATTTACAGAAGTCAGGGGGAAACAAATGCAGTAGCTTAATCCATCAGATAAAATTTGAACCAAAAGATAGTTTGTGGATTTTAACACAAATTTAACAATACTCATCCTGTTGAAAGGTCTTTTCTGTGTTCAGACAAAGTAGAAATTCTACAACAATAGAAGAGTAATAGGTATAAATTATGTTGAAGCCTATGCATGCTTTCCTTTCATAAATTAAATCTTATCAGTTGAAATCATTAAATGTCATACATTTATTAAATGACATTTATTAAATTATTAAATGTCATAAATGGGGGTGGTGTGGTGGTTCTGTGGCTTAGGATCTGTGGCTGGAAGGCCAGGCCAAAGATTTTTTGTTAAGTGTTACAAAATAATTATGGGAGCCAACAAGTTCTTTAGGTATTTTTAGGTACCCTAGAGTAATGTATATACACTAATGCCAGCAGCCATCTCTCTCTTTCCTAAAGTTAATCCTGCATCAGCAGGGTCCACTTGTCGGCACCAGTTTCCATTTAGTGGTTTGAACCAAATCTTTGAGCTGACGTTGCCATTAACTGCGACCGAGAAATACGTCGCTCCGCCTGCTGTCAGAGTCGGAGGGGGGGGGAGGAGAACAAAGTAATGTAGCCAATTCATAGATGTGGATTATTAGGAGGCCATGATTGGTAAAGGCCAATGGGAAATTTAGCCAGGACGCCGGGGTAACACCCCTACTCTTTTCGAGAAAACACCCTGGGATTTTTAATGACCACAGAGAGTCAGGACCTCGGTTTTACGTCTCATCCGAAGGACGGCGCCTGTTTACAGTATAGTGTCCCCGTTAGTGGGGCCAGCGGGGGGCTCTCACCCTGTGGTCCAGGTGGGTCCTAATGCCCCAGTATAGAGACGGGGACATTTCCTATTGGCCCTTACCAATCATGGCCTCCTAATAATCCCCATCTATGAATTGGCTTCTTTACTCTGCTCTCCTCCCCACTGATAGCTGATGTGGTGAGCTTTCTGGCGCACTATGGCTGCCGTTGCATCATCCAGGTGGATGGTGCATATTGTTGGTGGTGGAGGGGAGTCCCCATTACCTGTAAAGCACTTTGAATGGAGTATCCAGAAAAGCGCTATATACAGTACTGTAAGTGTAAACAATTATTATTATTATAATGCCTTGCAGGCTTTTTTTCCAAACAGCTATTAAAATGCAACTCATTAACAAAACACTGAGGTGGAATAAACAAAAAAAAATTAGGCTTATGTCTCTGTTGGAAAAAAAAATAAATTTAACCACACACAACTTTATCTCAGTGTAATTGTCACCTACTGTAAGTGAAGATGGTTCTCCCTGATCATCCAGTGGGTGCAGGGCTTAAGAGGAGGGAGGATTCAAATACTGTATGACTGGATAGACCTGACTTGAGGTCTGCTGTTGGTTTTCCAACCCAAGAGACTGCTGTCAGTTTCTCCACTGTGGAAACTCTTTACAGCAGTCTGTTTGGGGGCTCCCAGGATGAAAAAGTGCTAAAAGGTAATCAAACACTGAAAAAAGACAAGAAGCTCTTTTATCCTGTTGTAAAAATACTTCACCTCTGAGTGACCTTCCAAGACATTATGAGCCATGAACAATGGTGTTCCCTTCAACTGACTCTTATTCCAGGAATAGATGACAGGTCCTGTCAGTGTCTATTGCTTTTATTCTGCTCTGTTGGTAATATCAATTATTTAATATTGAAATACAGTAAGTCGACATTCATTAAATTAAAGATAGAATTGTAATTGTAATTAAGTATTACGTGAATTACCATAACAGAAGAATGGATTGATTACAGTATCATTGAGGAGTCTTATTTTTTGTGATACATTTTATGATATTTTCAAGTTAGATCAGACAAAACTATGCAAAGGCTGTTCTTAACAACTAAACAGGCATGCAAATTAATGAAGCTGTATAAGACAGATATTTAATTCGTTAATGCTTTTTAGAATCATTGGTTGCTGTTAAATTGGGCTTCTCATTTCTTAAAAATTCAATGGATGCTTCAAATATGTGAAAACTGTGAATCCAGTGTAAGTTAAAGGTGTCTGCTATTTAACAGCTTAATATGTTTTTTTTTAATTGGAGATATCTTACAGTTTGGGTTTTTTTAGGGACCAGCAAGCAAACAACAAAGATGAAAATAGGAACTACAGGTCAGAATTTTTTTCTGCACAGCACAGCAGTGGCATTTGAAAAGAGCCCCAAAACATTTTTTTTGTGTTGTGAGATACTTCAGGATTACATTAAATCCATGTGATTTTTCAGGGAATAAATAAGGCTTGATGATCTTTGTATAAAGTCTTACATTGCATATCCTATTTATGTGCCCCATGGTACTGTATATACAATAACACACTAGGGGAAATGTTTAAGGCTTAACTGAAAGTGCTTTGAAATGTGTGAAATGTTGCAAAAACAGATAAAAATACCCTTTTACTTTTTAAGTTTATGGTTTTGTGTTCTATGCTTTGTGCAATTCTTTCATTTTTCACCTTTTTGTAAAAAAGACATTTCTTTAGGGTGAATGAGATTATTCCAGTTATCTCTGGGGTAAAGCCTACTGTTCAACTACCTCTTTATAATCCTTTCACATATCTGACAACATATAACAGATCTAGACTGTCTCTCTTTAAAGTTCACTGTACTGCACATTTACTCACTGCTGTCCCTGTGTTCTTCTGCTTATGATAAGTTGTTATTATTATGATGTTTCCTTTGAAATCTCCAAAGGGGCTAGTTAAGTTCCCTCACTTTAGTGCACACATGAAATTAATAAAATAAGCCCCTTTTAACTTCTATAAACCATGCTGGCATACAGTATATTGATTATTATCCATAATTTAGTATTTAAATAAAAGCTTTTATTCAGGGCTCATCTCCACAGGGCTTTTAAAATTAATTATTTGCTTCAGCATCATCAGTGCTTCTTGTAGGTTTATGATCACTAATAAAGTGCTAGTTAGGTTTACAGCTTTTGTTAGTGTTAATCCTCTAAATTCCTGTGTGAATCATAATTAAAATACAAGCTATGGATTAGGAAATATGCAAAGTATTTACTTCGTATTTACAACAGAGACATTGTAAAAGACAGAAAACAGTTAATGCAACAAAATGGATCAAAAACATTTTTGTTTATTTCATTTGCTAAACATCAAAATAGTTTAATATATTAGAATTGGTAAGATTCAGGAATGTTATTTGTGAAATTTGGAAAAATCAAAATGGACTTTAATACAGATAGACATTGGAGCGGTTCAACAAGGTAAGACAGAGGAGCATTATCTTAAATGATGATGGATAGTGAGTTTCTTCTTCCAGATTCTTCCAAAAAGAAAACTATAGTATTTTTCAATGGCTTAGCGTCGCTGTTCAAATTTCAAGTAAACATTGCCATGAAGCAACAATTATAGCACCTTTCTGATATAAACATATACTTTATGGTTGAGTAGCCTCATATCAATTTCCTTGTCTGTGCTTTCCAGCAAGTGGCATTCTTGGGCTGGCTCCATAGGGAACAAGTATAGCAAAATGAAGTTTGACAAAGGCCAGCCTTGTTGGCAAGGACCAGCCAGGTCAGCAACGGTAAGTAAAATGTTTTTTCCATTTTTGCTTTTTATTACCAGTAGCCTACATACAGGTCTTGCATTTTAGGGATTTCCAGCCATGCTTCAATTTAAAGATCTTTTAAACCTCCGAATATTATTTAAAGTAACAATAACATGCTAATTGCAACATGTGATTAACTTTTTTTTCTTTCATTATCAATCTCTGTGGTGTTTTCTGTATAGCTCCTACAGTATATTTGAAATTTTGAATTTCATCACAAGACAACCAGATGACTTGGTTTAGATACTCACCCAAGTGCAAGGTGAGCAATGTACGGATGTCTAAGGTTCAAACCAAGGTCATGTCACATCTGACTATGTCTGGAATTCCCCAAGTTGACCCCTGTTGGCTAACAGCCATCAAGGATAGATGGCAAAGTGCCTCTAATTTTTCAGGTACCTGGGTGCCTGTTTGCAAGCGGTGACGTTGGTGAACAGTGCACCTCTTTTCCAGTCAGCCCTGAGGCTCTGGTACAAGGCTGTGGTGTGTTACAAGGCTGTCATGTGTTAAAAGACAAGCAGTTGGAAGGTAGGGAGGTCAGAGGAATGTGTCTACACTTTAATATTCTTCCCTAAGTGTAGTTGCCTGGGTTTGCATCTATGAGCTGAGATATGAAAAAAGTATTTTTCTTAACTTTATCGACAACCATTTTAATAAGTTTGTTGATTATTTGTATGTTTATCTAACAGTATATGTTAGCAATACAACATGTACTGTATTTCAAAAGGAGAGGTTCATTTCACATAGCAGAACTGTGAAGTCTATGGATACCCACAGTTGATTATCAAGCGTTAAGAAACCAGTGACAGAAATTAATGTATTTTGAACATGAATAGAATTTATCCATTACTACAGCCTAATATTTAGATCTACTATATATATCATGTCACTGTGTAAAAAAATGAAGGCTTGAATTCTCTATTAAGTTTTTGTTATGCCTCAACGATCTCCAGCACCGCTGCATTAGCTCCACCAATTAACAATGCGCATTCCACACATGCTGGAGACTCATTGGGGCCATCCTCTACGAGATCAGGCCGAGCCTATCAGGCCAATTAGGGAACCTCGCACAGTATTTAAGCCCTGAGGAACCATTCCTCACCGCTCAGACATTGAGTCACTAACCCTGCTTTGAGTTTGTCTCAGAAGTATTTCTCGGTGTTTCTTAATCCTCAGTTTCTAGTTCCTCAGTCATCATTGCCACTAATCATCTCTTCATCACCTCAGACCTCAGCCTCTGCTCTGCCTGCTTCAGTTTCGCAGCTACTGCCTCAGCTGTTTCCTCAGTCTCAGCTCTGTTAGTCCTCTTCAGTGCTGTCATCGAAAAATAATCTTGATTGCCGCATATCTTGGCTCATTGACTCTAATTTTCGCCGAGCCCGTTTCAACACCTTGTCGGGCCCAGTGTAACAGTTTTGAAGAAGATGCTTTGCTTACCTTAATTTTTGTGAAATTATTTCCTAAATGGAGAGGAAGGGAAAGGCTATGACTTATGTTTTGTCTTGTTTTAGCTCAAATCTTGGAACTCCCTGGAATGCAGATCTTGTCATTGGTCACACTATGCTGTTGCTTAGTATAATCAAAGTTGTTTGCAGGGCATGAAGTTATTATGTAACGTTCATGACTGTGTTTTGGGCTTGGGAAAATACATATTCTATACGCAAAAAATAGGACATTTGGTCTGTTAACCCCCATATAGTCAAATCCCGTTTTGCTGCTTCTGTTTGAATATGTTTGGAATGACTGTTACTGTATTTTTTAATATAAAGGATGAAACAAAGCACAACCATAGAATATTACAAAAATGGAAGATGTGTTTGATGTTGATGTGTTTGATCTTGAATCCAGAGAAATCTCCCTCAATGTCTTTGTTCATGCAAAAAACTACAGTTCCATTTAAAATCCTTTCACACTTGGAATGTATTATTTAGGATTTGATCCACTGATGACTCTTGAAGAGAACTCCACACTTTCAGATGCAGTTTGCAGAACTTTCATCATGTACATACTGCAAGAACAATTTCAGTTTTAAAAACTAAAAAAAGACATTTGTCCATTTTTTTTATAGTTTGTATTTCTCTAATGTCCAGTGTTACTTATAGCTCTGCCCTAATAAAACAAGCAAACCTTATAAAATAACAAAATCATCATCCACAGTCCACTTTAGACCTTTGTCAACTATAACAGAACTGGACAATTTTTTTTATATACTGTACACAAGAAACATGTTGGCACACTGTGTTGGATGTACACTACGTTTCTACGACTTCTTCTTCATCAAATTTGGAGGCAACACATTAATACTCTCTAAACAGCACAGCCTGCAATCTTTATTGTCTTCACAACCCTGGACCCCTGAAATGGAATGCAGTCATTATGCTTTTCATTTGTTTTACAGTTGACCTTCCTGTTGTCATCTAACTGCCATAGAACAAATTTGGTTATTATGAAAGGGATCCCAGAATGAAGTGACTTTTTTGATATATGTTGTAGTGTTGTGTGAGTGACAAAATCCAGAGCACAAACACTTTATTCATGGACGACACTATTGACACTATTCCTTTATATAAAGAGTATAATATAATATAATGAGTATTGTGAAGGCAACTAAATACATTGTTGGTGCTATAGTTATGCCTAGTTTTTGTAGCAGAGCTTGTGGAATTATGTTCGGATACATTTTTATGTACCAAATACATTTTTAAATGTACTAAATACATTTTTGGTGCTATAGTTGTACCTATCTCTTGCAGTGGAATTATGTTGTGACATAATTCTGACAGATAGACTCACAGGTCATACAGTATACACTAATATTACATAGCTCTTCTTTGGTTTAAGTGTCGAATTTTGACATTTACAAACTGTAAAGTATGTGAAAATAAATATGGTCAATATAATTTGCAAATATTATCCTCAAATATATAAACTATGGTAACACATCCAAGAAAATAATTGACCTGTCTTTGGGATCCAACCTTTAATAGTTTGAAAACCACTGCCTTAGTTAACTGCAGGAATTTATCTGTTAGTTTTAACTTTGAAAATTACTCTTTAGAATCTACTATTACAAGCAATTCTCAGTGAATAAAATATAAGTATAATGCTTTTCCTCAATTACATTTATGACAAGTTCCTGGAATTCCTAGAATAATGATCAGAATACAGCAGTGCATTCACTTGCAAAAAATACTCAGCTCTTAAAAATGGTAATGCACTTAAAAATAGCGAATGCAATTTACGTTGGATCCCTATTCAGTTTTGTGACATGCTCTGTAGGAACAGAATGACCTGAAGTGGACAGTTAAAGACCATTAAAAGTCAAAACTTTTGCAGAAGAATGAAACAAAAACCTAGCCAATTTGTGCACAATAATTTTCTAGAATTCCTAGAAAGATGTAACTAACCATTACATGCTATAGTATGTATCAAATACAGTAGAATACTGTATTTTCAATAGAGAATGTAAGTATTTTTATTGCTATAAAACATAATATGATGCAAAATACATTTATTAAAATGTGTAGAAACAGCTCCCCACCACATCGCCTCATACATGTACAGTAGATACATTTTTTCATGCAGAGGTAAATTTCTAAATATCATTTGATCTGCTTGTGCATGGTGATCACCTTAGAAAAGATGGCCCACACTATTTCACTGGGATGCATTATTGCATGTTAGTTCACTACAGTTACTGAATTTCCTGATTATCAGGTATAGTGATTAATTCAGATTCCATATTTGGATCTTGTGAATAAAAATATATATCATTATGCAACAAATATCAAACTTGTTGTGTACAGTATGTATACAGTATTTACAGTACATTTATTCAAATCTTCAGATTTTAACTTTTGAGATAGGCAACTTTACAACAGTTGCTTAAAATAAAAGTAAAACCAAAACTATAATTACAATTTTGCTTCTAATGAATAGTACTGTACAAACTACTAGAAATACAAAAGAACTAAAAAATACATTTTTCTATAGAATGGAATTTCAGCCAGCATATTATCTGTACCGATAGATATTATTAGGTAAACAATCAATTTTTTTTAACTAAGTAATATTTTAATACTGTGTTCAGATGGATTAAACTAAGTGTTATCCAAAACTCTAAAAGCTTCATAGGATAACATCTTCAGACATCTGAAAGCTTAAACTGAATTTAGTTTATAGTTTTTTTGTGTGTGTTTGAGCATATCCATCAGAAGAATTCAGATGTTCAGATAACTACAGTATCTGTGTATACTGCGTTTAAATGAATGGGGAAAAAAAAGATTGGCCCAAAATCTAACATTTTCACACAGCAAATTGATAGAAAAGTCAGGTTCCTCTTATGCTTATTCTAAATGTAATTGTGTATTTAGTACAGCTACA